TTCAAACTTCATGACTCTCTTTTACACAACTGTATGCTTCTGTTTTTCTGGTCTCTTTCATGTTGGTTTTTGAAGGTGATTTTGAACATGAAACAATTTTGGTGGAAAATTAGTGGAGATGCATGCTGGGGCTCAGACTGTGAGGATTTACTTGTTTACTTTCAGGGTGTGAAATGACAAATGCAGATGCTTTGTGTACAGTGGCTGGTAATTTCACTTATTAACATAACGTAAGGTATAAGACATCTTGGATTAATGCTAAAGTGGACTAAAAACAGATCCAAGTCCACTTTCAGTGCTAGTGTGAATGCAAAGAGAACTGACTTTTTATTTATGGTTCTTAGGGCTCTGGTTCTGTTTTCGTCTTTACATGTTCATCCAGCTAAAATAATATACAGTTATTTGAAACTGAAAAATAATAATGTTATTCAATACAAAATCTGACATTAACCAGCTGCTGTGTTTCATGAGCCAAAAAAGTTTCTCACCTTATTTATTTGGAGTACCTAAAGAAAGCATCCAGTGCTCTTACAGTTGTAATGTTATCATTTGCTGTCAGAGGTATGTTGTGCTCTGAAATGCTGCACCGATAGTAGCGGTTGAGCCTGATCTGCTAGATTCCTGTCAAACAGTGTTTCCCATGTGCCTGGTTGACAACACTCATTTATTCTTACAGTAGACACAGTCAGTGTCTGTACTGCTTCAAAGTTCAGAACAGATTTTTTGCCACTAAATTGGAAACACTTTCAATTCAAGAAAGCCAGTGACAGAATGATAAAAGATGCAGGTAGAACAGGCTGCATGGATGGGTTTTTGCCCAGAACAGAACCATTCCGCCAATCCAAACTGTGTGTCAATCATTTTGACGATAGTGGTCCTGACAGAACTATTAAAAATCATATTCATAAATTGAAATTATATATATATATATATTTAGATGAAAAACTGAAATAAAGTTAAAAGTTACTCAAACTGATAAAACTAAATCCAAAATGTACTAGAAAATGTACTAGTAATTTTCTGCCAGGGCATTAGCTATTAATTTGATTGACATTGCAGTGCAAAATTCAAAACACTGGTGAAGCATCTGTTAAAAAAGCAATATGGAAAAATTCTTCATATTTATAAAGTACATAGTGCCTTATTTTTATGGATTTGTTAGAGTGTAAATAGATTTACAAAAATAAAAACACATACCAATTTTTAATATTAAATATTCACATAAAATTAAAATTAAAACTAAAAACATAAAAACAGAAGCAAAATGAAAATATTCATTAATACTATAATAGTACATAAATAATACCAAAATAACACTGAATGGAACGCTGCACTTTAATTTAGCCAGAGATGACTGTGCTGTTTTATGAACATAATTCATGATATAATTTCCATTTATAAAAGTCATCTATTGAAAAGTACATGGTTTATTGGAAGTGCAAGGATTATTTTTAAACCAAATATTTAACTTTTCCCACTTTTTTAGATTTATTTTTGGCATTTTTTGCCTTAGTAGAATAGTAGACAGATTAGACAGACAATTAAGTGGGAGAGAGAATCATGGGATTGGAAAGGACTAGAGCTGGGATTTGATCTCTGGTCACAGAGGCACAACCGTGTTACATGTCATGTCAGACAACATTTTTGATGCATGCGCTATTGTTGTTTCATTGACAAGCATTTGTTTCACTGGATAGATCTGAGGCTGCTTGAATCTGATAGATGGTACAGGCTGGATTTCTTGTTCTTGTGTTTTGTATCTTGCACATTTTATTTACAGTTCTCATCTGTGTTCCAGAACATTCAAATGTTGAGGTCACAAACTCTGCATCCCTATAAAATCAATATTTTATTGAGTATTATAGATCAGATATATAACAGTGTAGTCTGGGTCTTGTCAAGAGTAAATATTTACTATTGTGGTGAACCTAGTTTCCTCTTATGCAACACTGAGTCACGCCAGTCATGCTGTGATTCAGCAGTGGTTAGCTGTCGTTCACAGTATCCCTTGAGCCGCTGGTTACATTTTGTCAGGACTGGAGCAACATGTTTATGCTATAATTTACTGTATAATTACTTTGATAAATCATACAGTAGCTATTTCAGTGTTTTCATTAGAGCAATGGATTTCCGCTTGGTTTTAAGTAGGGGTTTAAAACCTTTTTTAGGCCAAGGAACCCATTTAGTTGCTCAGAAATGCAGTAAAAACTGTAATACTGTGAAATATTATTACAATTTAAAATATGTTTTCTATTTGAATATATTTTAAAATGTTTTAAAATTGATTTCTGTGATCAAAGCTGAATTTTCAGCATCATTACTCCAGTCTTCAGTGTCACATGATCTTTCAGAAATCATTCTTATATGCTCTTTTGATGAAACAATTCTTATTATTATCAGTGTTGAAAACAGTTGTGCTGCTTCATATTTTTTTGTGGAAACAGGGATGAACAGCATTTCTTCAAAACATACATCTTTTGTAACATTATAAAAGTCTTTGCTGTCACTTGCTGTCACTTGCTGAATAAAAGTATTTATAAAAAATCTTAGAGACCAAAAACTTTTGAATGGTAGTGTATATGATATAACATTGCTAAGCCATTTATATAATCATTATTGATGTACAAAGCCATGACCTTTATTTAATGCACATTTAATTTTACTTAATACATTTAAATGTGGGAGCGACTGTGCAACATTTAGCTAAACTTTATAGCTTCAGTTGAAGTTAACGCAGTATTGAAAAAAATTCACAAAAATGTGTTAAAGATCAAAAACTGGCAACCCTCCTGCAGTAAAGACCCCTGCTTTAAAGAAACCTGTACATTCTATATGCTTTCTTACTCTATGTTTGCTCAATCTGTATCTTTAGAACAGAACTGAACCTTGTCCAACAGAATAAAAAGAGAAAGACAGAAACAATAAAGAGATTGATGAGGCTTCTTTCAGTCCAGTAATCATGATACTGGCAGACACAAATATCTGCTCGCTGCAGGAGACCGACCATTAATAACAGAAGTGCATGCCTGCCTCCTCTCCTAGTTCATCACTCACTCTCGATTTATTTATCTTTTCTCAGTCTCACACACTCCACATTCAGAGCAGTGTAAGACCTCTGTGTTCTCCTCTCCTCTCATCTAAACCACTGAATTATTAAGAACGAACTGGCTCCCCAAGATCCAGTGAAAAATAGACACTTCTGGAAAACAGCAGGCGTGTATAAAATAGTTCAGGTAATCAAATTCATACACACTGAGGCAGTTGTACCCGATAAAGTTTTGTTATCATTTTGTTGCTTTTTATGATGGTGGTGTGGCCTAGTTGTTAAAGATCTGGATGTAGATTCGAGCCCAACAAAAGGGAGACTGAAGAATAATCACTGTTGTGTTCTTGAAACTTTAAGTTATTACTAGTTATGAATGGATAAATGACTGAATATGATAAAAAAAATATAAAAAAATAAACCAAACAAATATATATAACATATATAAAAATATATGCTCATAAATTGTGACAAAGAGAGTTCATAAATCATATGTATCAATGTCAGATCAAAATTAATAGCATCTTTTATCCTCTCATTGTTATTTCTGGTTGATCATGCCAAATTCTAGCTTGCATAAAACTCAAGTCTTGTAAATCAGACCATCAGTACTTTGTACTGTATAATGATAATCCACCATCAGTATCCTTTAGCACAGTTCCTAAGAAATGACAGGACGTAACATCTGAGTAGTCAATTATAAATTGATAAGGTTAACAGCTGTAAAATTTTGATTATGATCAACAACGCGATTTGATGTTTTTAAAATGATTTTATTGCTATGTTTTGTAGATAGTGGTTTATCAAAGCTGACTTATTTGCAAGGTATATTCATGTATAATATATAATCATCATATAAAAAAATTAATAATTGTACAGTATTTTGTTATTTTTAGTAATTATTTTTAATGTTATTTTTAAATAACTAATTATTTTTAATAACTGCTTTCATTTAGCAGGAAAGATTAAATTGTTTTAAAAAGTTACAGTAAAGACTTTTACATTGTTACAAAATATTTCTACTTCAAATAGAAATAGATATGTTCTTATACATTTTCTATACACCAAAGAATCCTGAAAAAAATGTATCATGGTTTCCAAAAAAATGAAGCAGCACAACTGTTTTCAACGTTGATAATAATAATAAATGTTTCTTCAAATCAGCATATTGGAATGATTTCTGAAGGATCATGTGACTGAAGACTGGAGTAATGATGCTGAAAATTCAGCTTTGATCACAGGAATAAATTACATTTTAAAATATATTCAAATAGAAAACATATTTTAAATTGTAATAATATTTCACAGTATTACTGTTTTTACTGTATTTTTGATCAAATAAACGCAGCCTTGGTGAGAATAAGAAACTTCTTTCAAAAACAAAAACAAAAATCTTACTGACCCTAAACTTTTGAACAGTACTTTATATTATATATTATATATGAATATACCCTAAAATCACAGAATTGAAGCTTTATGGTACTTTTTTCAATTATTAGTATACATAGGCGAGTAAATGATGGCAGAATGTTCATTTTTGGGTGATCTGTCCGTTTAAGGATAAACACTTTAGGGGCTTTGTAAAATCTCAAGGGCCAGTAGTTGGAGACCCATGCTTTAAATCTTACACTTTCTTGACAGATCTCAGAATAGAACATGTTTCTCAATTCAAGTCCTCTGCCTCAGTTTATTTGTCAGTGATTTGTTGTTAAAATATTTCTGAAGCCTAAGTCACTGCTGTCCTCCTCTGGTTGGCCATGTATGGCCAGACACGCATAAGCAGTGGCTCCTAGAAAAACAGTGGGGTAGGGGACTCCGGGAGGACAGAGTGAAATGAGAGGAGGAACGTCAGGAGGTGGATGTGGTTTAGTCTTTGAATTTGCCAGTCTTTAACCCCGTGCTGTGAAATATCACCTTACGCCACAAAAGGCTGACTACCTATTCAAATGCCCTTTAGTAAAGGCAGCCAAAAGTGAGCCGGGCCTCTGCACACAGTCTGTACGTCACCATAGCAACCCTTGTCAACCAGGAAGTCCTGTAGTGCTGGAGTGAGTAAGAGAGAGAGAGTGAGAGTGCATGTGTCTGTCAGAATGTGAGAGGGACTTAACAGAGGTGAAGCAGACGGGAGTAAAAACCAGTGTAGAGAGAAAAAACTGACTGAAAGCGGACAGAGAGAGGGAAGAAAGAACAGAAAGAGCATTTTATACAAAGCAGACCAAGCAGCTCTTTGGGAATTGCGTGTGTTGTCTTGAGAAATCTGTGTGTCACACACTTACACACCAACACAAACCGGTGAGTTGATTAGTTTTTTCCTTTTGACAGACTTTTAGTGTGAGTTTACTACTGTAAAACAGCCAAATGATCACGAACAGCGACTCATTTATTCATGCAGTTATTCTGTTTGGCAGGGTTGTGTTAAAGCGGTAGCCCGCAGTCCATCTGAAGTTGATTCTTAACTCTCTTTGAAGGATCAAGGGTCTTTGGTGGGATTTGGGAAGTTTTCAGTGCAGCGGGAAAGAGCATAAATGCTGCAGAAAAGCCAAAATCTGGAGTCCCATATGGTGTTCTGCTTTCTTATTTCTATGTTTATTTTAAAAGTCATTTGGTTTTGAGTGGCTGGACTTCATTGAAACAGTTAGTTGTTGTTTTGCCTGTTTAGAGTCGTGAGTTTTGTTTGACATTTGATTTTTATAGTCTGACCTCAAATTCATTTGGTTCATGTACAGAGGGTATTACTTTATGATTTAAGATCCACAGGACAAAAACAAATATTTTAACTCTGTTTGATATCATGATTTAATGTTTTTATTGTACTTTTCAGATAAACAAAATAAAAAAGTGGTTTATGTAATTAAAATTATGATTTAAAGAAGTCATCATTCATTTTTTGAGGCATTTTATAAGTGATGTTGACTAGGGATGCATCAATAAGACAGGCCAAAACCGCTAAAGGGGGAGCTTATAAAATATATAATATACTATTTTGTTAAATGAATGAAAAATAAAGTATTAAATAAAATGAATTGCATTCTTATAATGTACAGTTTAAAAATTGGATTATCATTCTGAGATCTGCTCAAAATTACATTTAACAGTGGTTCTAAATTATTATTATTTTAAAAATTAACCTTGGCATGATTCATCTTATTATGAAAGATTAATCCATGCATAAATGAGATATTGTGGTACCAATATACTTTGTATCCCATAGATATATGCAATATGATATCAAGATATCAAGCTAATATCAAGACTGAACTAAGTATGTATGATATGATAAGAGGTCAAACTGCTCACATATTCCCATAGGTAATGCTAGTTAGGTTTAGGGTTAGATGTTTTCCCAGAGTGCTCCTCTAGTCAATGACTGACAGCTTAATCTCATTGAATATGACCTGCATTTTTACACGTCTGTCTGGGTGTTTCCCACCGTTGTAAGGCAAATGAGAGCAGACTTCATTGTCAGCTCCAATAGTGTGTGTGTGTTCCAGTGACAAAAGCATGGAGCAGGTCAGTGTGTGACAGACCAAAGGCTCTCCTGTCAGGTCCATCAGAAAGACCTCAGCAGCACACACTGATCTCTCTGAGAATATTCTCACATGGTACGTGTGTGCACGAGTGCTTTAGTGCCCATTACATAAGCATGACATATTATGGTGGCCCTCATAGTATGGGGCATTTCCCAACCTCTGATCTACAATGCATATACATAAGGGTACAAAAAAGGTAATTTTCTTTACACAGAGACGTCTTACTGATTAAAATCCTCTTCAATAGGTTCGTACAGGTGTTCCACTGCCTCCACACTTTGTAGAGTGCTGTTGATTTTGGATGGTTTATGTTGAGGAGCCTATTTTGGCTATCAAATTGTTTGTGGGATGACCATACATGGTGATCAGATGGACCTGCTGCTGATTAATGTGTGTATCATGTAATAACGGGAGATTGTAAACAGACGCACAGCAGAGCCTTTTATGGCACCTGCTCGCATTCATCAAAAGGTCGAGCACAACAGACCTGTATAAGAGAGAGATGAGAGAAGTTAGCAGTGAAACAGATGAGGGGGATTTTGACGGACTTATTGCACTTTGCTTTGTTCTGCTGTTTTTGTTATTTTTAATTTAAAAATACATTATCTTATTCCACTATAACATGCAGAGACAACTATAAGAAAGCCATTAGTAGGTTGATTCCCCTGTAAAGTGTAATTTAAGAAATCTTTCTCACAATATCACCTCAGAGTTTGATGTGCAGGTGTTTGTCCTCCATCTGTGGCGTGGGTTGTCTCAGTTTGGTTCAGCAGGACTGTTTGTTTGGACGTATCTAAACATTGCTGTTTGTTTGAGCATCCGACCATCCTGGCACAGCAACAGCTCAGCCAATGAAGTGAGTTTGGGGCGGGGGTACCTATTTGTTCAACCAATGGCAGAAGGGGGGAGTGTTCAGGAAACCAGTTTGAAAATAACCATTATTTTTGCAAATACTTTTCATGCAGATATGACACTTCACGCTTTAATTATTTGTCATTATAATTTTCTCTCTGTGTTTCTAAAGCCCAAAGTATACAGTATGTCCTGCCGAGAAGAAAGGGGGAGTGTTCAGTAAAACCTATTTGAAAACAATCATTATTTTTGCAATTATGTTTTGCACAGAAATGCTACTTTTTCATTTAAATGTTTGTCTTCATTTTCTCTGTTTCTGACTGTGTTCTTTGTCTTTGTTTATATACTTCAGTTTTGATGCGAATGCTAGTGAATGCGTGCAGATGAATGCGTAGCCTTTCAAACTATAATTTGATAGCGTGCATGAACACATGCACTTGACAAATGCGCTAGAAAGATACATTTTTGTCCAGTGTCTGTGCTATTTCTCTCCAGAAGTTATGACTGATGAAATATCTTTGTGCTTGTTTAAAGCTCCTCACACAAGCACTCGTCAATGTGGCCATCTGTTGCTGTTGCGTCTCCAGTAGTTTGTTGTAGTAGTTGTTCTGTGTCTCATCTGTTTCTTTTTTTAAGCGCGAAACAACAAGCCGGGCCAGTGTTGCCACCTTGTAGACAAACTAATTAGTGCAAAAAAATGCAAGGCACACTTGCAAGCTGAGCATACAGTACATGCATGGTTAGAAAAATTCAGTAGACAATTGGGACCAAAGTCTTGGATGCTGTGTTTTCACTTTGATCTAATCGGTGGTTGATGTCACACAGTGTGTGATTGTTTTTTAGCCAAGATCTCACTGGGATCATATCATCCAGTCAGACAAGCAAAAATGGTAAAGGACTGTAAAAATCATACAGTGTGGCCCTCGAGTAAGTGATATGATCTAGACATGATGTCAAATCTTTTGGCTCAGTCTCACCTTATACTGTGCTTTGTCTATCTACTCGCTTTTATCTCTTTATCACTTTCGCTTTTTATCTCTTTAATGCTTTAAAAGCACAGAAACAGAAAAGCTCTCTCAGCAATTTACCTTCATTTGATAAACAAAGTGGCAAAAGATTGATGTGACTCATTCAGATGTTATCAGACAATGGAGATGATTGCTGATCAACTATATATGAGGATTAATACAACCTATTCTAATTTGCCTTTATGACATACAGTATGAAATACGTAATTCATATGTAATTCAATGAAATATATTGTTCATTCACCAAAACAACTTAGGTGGTTGAATTTCATTCATTGCAGATAAAATATCATAAAAAATATCACCTGCAAATGACTTTTAACCTTCTGTACTGATGTTTCTTATATAATGCAAAGACATCGATTGATATTTAAGTTTGTCTTAAGTGTCCAAATAGGTTTTGGGGCAACTGAATATGTGTTCAAAATACTGATTAATGGATGTGAATCTAGTGTAAACATATACACTGAATAAAGAAGCACAGGTAGTTACTTATCTTGAAAGTATACTGTATAATGTATCTGCTGATATATTTATATAAACTACATGATGGAATGGTCATCTTCTCCAGAGCAACAAACAAACTGCCCACGCTCAGGACATTTTCCAAATGCCTTTGTGAAAATGAATGGAGATGCAGGACAGAGTTCATCTGATCACTTGCTGGGGAATAGTGTGCAAATGCTCTTATTGGACAGTTGGGATTCACCACTATGGTAAAAAATGTGCTGAGTTTGAGACGCACTTCTTAGCAAAGGCCTACACATGGTTTCAGTGACTCACAGATATTCAGTAAGTCTGTTAATGATTGAACGGACACTTTTAAAGACTCCAAAGAAGTTATACATGTCTGCATATTCAATGTGACCCCTCACTTTGGTGTCTTTCCCATAAGAACAATAAAGAATGGTGATTGTTTGGCCATAGTCACCATCACCTGAGTTTTGAGGTGAAAATATGACCAAAGAGAGTATGATTTCAGGAACCCTATCTGGATCTTTTGAGTGTCACATAGTCACAGCAGTTGATTCACAAATCAAATCTATGTTTAGTAATTTTTGTGTGTTTTACCCCCACATGTATGTCATTTGATTCATTGAAGGGTTTCTCACTCTGAAGAATGAACTTGCTATTGTTATAGAGGTCAACCGGCCAAATTTGACAAGTTTTTGTCTCTGGATTTTGACACAGGAACAATGAAATCTTCTCAGTACAGTTCTGTCTTTGGCTCAACTATTGTGGCTATTGATAAAAGCTCTGTGCGTAGTTAAACCCATCTTGAAAAGCAGAACCGTTTAGCCTCAAACTGACCTGTGCCTCTTTTGACCTTTGATCTTTGGACAATGATGTCATGATCCAAACTGCTGTCAACAAGACAAATGAATCACCATTCCATTCCTTCACTGATAATAATGCCAGTGGCTTGCATGTTCAACATGCTTTACTGAAAATAATAATATTCTTAATCAGTATTTCCCCAGTAAAATATATCTAAACATCCTTAAGATGGCTTAACAAGCAAAATTATGTAATATGAGGCTTTTACAGCCTCAAATTTTTACAGTGCACTTAAGTACAATGTGACTTTTAGACATTAATATTATATTATTTTCAGGTAGTTTTTTAAAAAATATACTTTTAAGAATTGAAGTAGAATATTGTAGTTAATTAAGCACACTATTTTTTTTAAAGCGGATATACATATTTGGATATTTTAATTGGAAAACAAAATAAAAACACGTTAAGACTTTTTTTTATCAGGATCAGACTCTTTGCTGACTACTCAAATTTGAAGTATTCTCTGGTTCGTAGATGTGCTGAAACAAGTAGCTTTAAACACGCAGGCCTTGGTCACTATAAACTAATTACAGATTGTCTTTAT